TCCCCTGCTAATGGCCCACCCAGCTAGCTCCACAGAGCTGGTTTGCCTTGTTAGCATAACTAAATTCAGGGGGGTTCTGTGTTTGGCAAAGTTTAATCAACAGCAGTCACAAAATCAAAAGACACCTGCTTCTTGGGAGAAAAGCAATGGCAAACCTAGACAGCATCTTAAAAAGCAGAGCCATGGTTTTCCCAGTAGTGATGTATGGAAGTGAGAGCTGGACCATAAGGAAGGCTGATCGCTGAATAATTGATGCTTTTGAAGTCTGGTGCTGGAGGAGACTCTTGAGAGTCCCATGGACTGTAAGAAGATCAGTCCGATCCATTCTGAAGCAAATCAGCCCTGAGTGCTCACTGGAAGGACAGATCGTGAAGCTGAGGCTCCAAGACTTTGGCCACCTCAAGAGAAGAGAAGACTCCCTGGAAAAGACCCTGATGTTGGGAAAGATGGAGGGCACAAAGAGAAGGGGACGACAGAGGATGAGATGGTTGGACAGTGTTCTTGAAGCTATAAACATGAATCTGACCAAACTGTGGGAGGTAGTGGAAGACAGGAATGCCTGGTGTGCTCTGGTCCATGGGGTCATGAAGAGTCAGACACCACTAAACAACAACAACAACCCTTGGTTGGTGGGGTATAAATAAAGTTACTACTACTACTAAATCCAGGAATCATGGGGAGGACCTGGCACCCAGGAATTTAGGGGAATCTAGCCCCCCACAAACTCATAACAATATTCTGCTGGAGATGTTTTGCTTGAGCTTTGCATTACAGAATCAAACGTTTTGCAGGATTTTTATTGTGGGCATCACCTGGAATGAACAGATCCATGTTCCTTGACTCCCAGATGAATGCATTTTGTAAGACTGCCATACTCTGAATGTTCTTTACTTGCTCAGAATTCAGGGAAGCAGGTTTCGCTCCTTTGTTGTCAGTTTGCATCATGATTAGCAATAGGTGATCAAGCTCTAAAACTCTAGGGGCCATAAAAGGAAGGAAGCCTCCCCCCACATTTCCCAGGACTCTGGTGGTGCTTCTTATGTTCTGATCTGGCAGTGTTTGCCACCTTCATTCATAGGAGGGCTGGAAGCACCAGAAGGAAGGTGCCAGGTGGGTGGACCCAACTGATTAGCACAAAGGAGCGTCTGATATAATTGGAGTGACAGGGACTTTGCTCAAAGGGAGCCATTGAGATTAGGGTTGGGTTTCTCCTGCCTGCACGAGGGAGTGGTAATCTTCAAAAATGTGTCACCCGAAAACAATGAGGAGGATTTGGGGCCCTGGCTTTCGAAGTCCTGAGGGCAACTCCAGGCCCTGGTGTCTGCACTGCAGATGCAAGTGACCTGCAAGTTCCCTGGAACCCTCAGCACCTCGCAGAATTAATCCGGTTAGTCATTCTGCTTCCGTGCATCTTTTCCTGCAAGCTCCCGCAGCTGTTTCATTGGCTAATGTGAGACTGTCCTTGTGTTCCTCTCTGATAATCTGACCTGAAAACACAGAGGAGGCTGGCTTGCTTTTCAGGGAAAAGGATCCCTCATGAGGAGGTGTCTTGCCCCATTCTGAACATGCTCCCTTAGGATGGAGAAGTTCCCAAGGAGTTCAGGGGAACTTATTTTCTGGTGAGGATGCTTCAGGTGCTGCTGGTCTTAATCTTGCCCAACAAAATAGCAGCAGGATGAACGGAGAGGTTCAGAGCAATCAAGCAGCTTCCCTTCTCTACCTCTATTTCTAAGTATCTGGAAGCTGCAGTTAGCAGAGAATTGCTGACAGGTGGAAGGCCTTGTCAGAGGTAGGTGACTTCAATGTACTCTTTTTGGTGCCTACCAGAAATGTAGAATGTTGATGTGTGCTTTATTCTGTTTTTAGGTTATTGTTAGTTTTATTGATCAGGTTATAGTTTCATTGGTTCCGGTTCGGTAGTGCTTAAATTTTATGCAATGCCTAAATAAGAAACGAATCCATTCTATGATTCTACATGCCTTGCCCTGGGAAGGAACAAGGGGCACCAGCCGCTTTTCCTTGGCGCCATTTGGGTTTGTACATAACAACCTTCCCCAGCCTGCCCACTCCTGCCGGCTTTGGTGTTTTGGACTACACCTCCGTTGGGGCTCCAGGGTGGGGAAAGCAGGTGCAAATTTCTTCCCTGCCACCCAGCCCACAGCCTGGCACATGCAGCTACAGCACTGCTCTGGAGTGTATTATTTGTTCAATAAAATATATTTATTTCACATCTGGGAAGCCTTTTGCATTCATCATCACTTGTTATGGAGTGGGAGCAGGCAGAGCTGCATCGGCAAATCTCTTCCTGCACAGCCGCTCATCCAGAGAAGTGATGGCCACAACGGTGGCAACCTCTCTTAAAGAGCCTTCATTTGAGTAAGCTGGGTTTGTTTGGCCTGGAAAAGAGACTGAGAGGTGTTATGATAACCATCCTATCTATCCCTGGGATAGATCAGTTGGTAGAGCATGAGACTCTTAATCTCAGGGTTGTGGGTTTGAGCCCCATCTTGGGGAGGAAAGATTCCTGTATCGCAGGGGGTTGGATTAGATGACCCTTGGAGTCCCTTCCAACTCTACAATTCTAGGATTCTGGGAAAGTGCAGCACAGCAGCAGGAGCAAATGGCAGCAAACAGCCGTTGCCCAAGAAGAGAGAGCGTGGCATGGCATGGCAGTCATGCAGCTGAGCGTTCCGCTGGGTGAATGTTCCCTGAATAAATAGCAATGGGGAGGGCACAAAATGCAAGAGTGAGTTGTTAGTTAAAAAGCTTTCCCACCTCCCCCTCTTTTTCCCAGGAATGAGGCACTGGAATTATTCCAGGGAACGGAAGGCAGAACAGTTCCTTCTTCCCACTGTAGGGCATGAAATTAAAAGGAACTGCAAACTGCGAAGCAGCCAAAGTGAAGTGCAAGGCAGGTGCAGTGTGAGACAAAGGGAAGTTATTTAGAGTTTTGAATCAGTGCTTCCCTTCCCTTCTGTATAATGCTTGTCAGGTGATTCAAATGCAAAGCAAAAGATGGAATACAGAGCCCAGTCTACATCACATGCTCCTGATGCTTCTCTTCAAAAAGAACCCAAGCCAGAGGTTGTCTTAGGTTCGCGTGACCATTGTGGCTGTACTGGTCATTGCTGCGGAGGGTGCCACAACAATGCTGTAGGATGGGGTGCAAAAGGCAGGGGCAGCGGGGAAATTTCTTAGTGTTGCACAGGTTGCCAATGAAATCTGAGAGGCCAAAGTCTGCCACTGTCCAAGGCGTGGCTGCATAGGTTCTTTCTTGCTGGCCCAGTTCGGATTCAATCTGCAGCTGCAAAAGAAGAATCTCTAAATAGATAAATCACCCAGCTTGAACTTGGCACTTTTTGAATTTGTGCAACAACAATAAAAAGTGCGCTTAACCAGGCGCTCAACAATTTGTATTGATTTTTAGACAGGGTTTACTCTCTCTTCTGTTATTGCTTTGTTCTGCATTAGGCAGCAGGAGTTATTCTGGCTAAGAGAAGGTTGGATAGTGATCTGTTAAGAAAATGGTGTGGTTAGTTTTGGCTAGGCAAATGACAACAGTTGTGGCCACAAGAATCCACAGCCAGGGGCATTTGAGAAACATTTGCATTTTAGTCTCACTCTTAGGTGCTTGCATATAATGGTGATGATCAGGGATCCTAGGGAGAAGACGTGCATTTCCAAGAAGAGCTTTTTGGACTGCAGACACATTGAAACCACCTGATTTATTATTAACTATTTTAAGATTTTGCAATTTAGCAACACCCATTTAGTGCAGCAAAGTATAAGTAAGTGGCATTACAAGTAAAACATAAAGGGGGGGGCTTGAGAAGAAAGAAAGAAATGACAAATTGAGAGAGCATAAACTTTGGGATTAGTATTGAAAGGAGAGATATCATCAAATACACCATCACTCCAAAAAGTCAGTCCCATGGAGTATAATGGGACTTGCTCCCCAATAACTGCACAAGGATGATGTTCCAAATCTTCTTACTTCCATCAACTGCATGGGAGAGTCACAACCCAACTGATGCTTCAAACCAATGTGCAGTTATTACACTGGCTATACATTCCATATGTTAGTTACCAATGACATAAATCAATCAACTATTGATTATGGTCTACCAACTATTAAAGAAAGTACGAAATCAGATCCCGAATGCTATAATACCATCTCTGTTTAGTGAAGATCAAAATTTAATTCCATGCAAAATAATTAAGAATGAATGTCCACATCATCTTCATGATCGATTTACATAAGGTAGAAACAAAAAAAACCCAAACAGGACAGCAAATGTGAGTTTAGTTATGTAAGTATTAATTATATTACCTATCATTAAGTGCTTAATTTTCTCATGCACTTCATCCTCTTGAGCATGCAATGTATTGACCTAGTCACTTAGATGATTTTTTTTTATAGTGAGTGACTAATAAATCAAATAAAAAATAACAATAAGAATTTTGGAATGAAAAAAGAGATTTGCATAATCCACAATTGGAGGTAGCAGACGCTTCTGAATCCCCTTGCTGGGCGGGAGTTGCTCTTGTGCCTGAGTCCTGCTTGTGCGTTTCCCACTGAGACATCTGGTCGGCCACTGGCCTGATCCTGAGGCTCTTCTCATGTTCTTATTTGCAGTCTTAGTTTCATTCCTTTTGCACAGCTTTGCATTGGGTGGTCTTGATGAGGCACCTCAAACTCAGTCACCTGTTGACATTAAATTGTCGTTTGTTGCAACCAACATTGCCCAGCTGAGACAAAGCGCAGCTCACTGGCTCCTGAGAAACCTTAGAAATGTGATTTGAGCGGTGAGGTGGTGGCGATGCAGCTGCATTGGCCGTGTGTTACTGCTTTTGCAAGACATATATTGTGCACAGACATTGTACTTTTGGGGTTAAAATTCTCCATGTAAGAGCAAAAGTGATAACTTGTGTGATGACTTTAAGAATAATCATTCAAATGCACAATTGCTTCACTTCTCGTTTCTTGCATAATTTTCTAGAGAATGGAGCTGCTAGACCCTCCATCAACGATGAGTAATCACACCATTCTTCACCATCCTAATAATACTGCCCTCCCTGGGCTTCTCTTTCTCCTGATGGGTTTTCCTGGACTGGAATCCACCCCACATTGGCTGGCTTTCCCCGTGGGCACAGCCTACCTGCTGTCCGTTCTTGGGAATGGGGCCGTCCTCTTTGTCATAATCACGGAAACAGCCCTCCATTCCCCCATGTACATCTTCCTTGGCCTGCTAGCTGCCTGTGACTTGGGCTTGGCCACAGCCCTCCTGCCCACAATGCTCCGGGTCTTCCTCCTTGGATCAAGGGAGATCAGTCTGGACGCTTGCCTCTCCCAGCTCTTCTTCATCCACACGTTCTCCATCATGGAGTCCTCTGTGCTCTTGGCCATGGCCTTTGACCGCTTCGTGGCCATCTGCTACCCTTTGAGGTACACCTCCATTTTGACCAGCTCCAGGCTGGTCCACATTGGCTTGGCCATTGGCCTCCGGGGTGTGGCCTTGCATGTGCCAATCCCCTTTCTTCTCAAGAGGCTGACTTACTGCCACCATATTAACGCCCTTTCTCACTCATACTGCCTGCACCCGGATGTGATGAAGCTGGCCTGCCACAAGTCCAGCAGGGATGGCATCTATGGGCTCTTAGTGGTCTTCTCCACTATGGGTCTGGACCCACTACTCATCGTCTTGTCTTACATCTGGATCTTGAAGACCGTTTTGGCCATCACCTCGCTGGATGAGCGCCACAAAGCTCTCAACACCTGTGCCTGCCACATCTCTGTGGTCCTGCTGTTCTACACCCCCATGTTGGCATTGTCCTTGATCAGCCGCCTCAAGCTCCACACCCTGCCCTTCCTCCACATTCTGTTGTCCTACATCCACTTCCTGGCCCCACCTTTGCTCAACCCCGTGCTCTACTGTGTCAAAATGAAAGAGGTGCGCCAAAGGATATCTGCAAAACTCTTTTTGGCCCAAAGGGTCCATTGGGAAGGCTGAAGACCCTTGTCCACCTGCCCTGCTGCAGAATCAGAAGGGAGGGCAGCTCCATGAGGGCTCCATTGCCCTTCCCAATAGTTCAAATCTCCCATCTCAACTTACTCCCCTTTTTGTATCTACTCCCAGCCTAAAACAATGCACATTCCATTTGGCCATGCCTTCAGCACACAATAGCAAAACAACATCCTTGAGAGCAAGTTCCATCTTCTGCCAGGTGAAATCTCTATGTAAAATGAACACAGGCTTGCAAATTTGTGCCATAGAATTTGCCTTTTCTTTACACAGAAGCAATCCATGTCCAGTAAGGAAATGGAAGGTCTTGTTTCAGTGCTAATAAAGTTTTTAATCAATTTTCTACTGTTTGTTTGTGAAATTGCTGCAATCACAAAAAGCTGTATAGCTCCATATAGCAAGTCCAACAAATTTAACATGGGATAAAAATTTCATTGACCAGAGTCCACTTCAAATGCATTGTATGCGGTGGACTTTAGTCCACAAAAGTTTCTGCCCTGATAAGTCGGTTAGTCTTGAAGGTGCCGCAAAACTCTGTCACCTGTCCCACCCTCTAAACCAAAATTTGGACCACTGACCACAGTGTGGTCCCATACTCAGCTCCAGCACACCCTACCCTACCCTATAAAAAGCATTATTCAGAATAGGGGTTTGCACAACCCACCAAGGAAAATAGTGGCACAGTAAAATTCAAAACAGTAACCATTATTGTACACTTATTCAAAATCCAATTAAAACTAGTTAGTTTAATGAATTAATTAGTTCAATTAATTCAACAAAGTTGATGAGCTTGATCCAGTGATCCCCCCCCCGAAGTCAGATAGGCGTTCTCACCTCTAGTGCTCTCCTGCCTCTCTCTTGCCTCTTGACACCCCCCACCCAGGGTGCAGTTCCACCCATTTTGGGAACCATTACTTTAAATGGTGCCTCTGGCACTAAGTGCAGATCCATCTCCCAGCAGAATCAGCAGAGGGAGGCAATTACAAGTAGGTACCTGCTGGGAGGCTCAAAGCTGGCAGAGCTTCCTCCTTCCCGCAGGGACAAAAGGCCTCAGAGGTGTCAGCCTGGGAAGAACCATAAAGGTCATTTGATTGCTCTGAACTACAGGTTCTGCAACAGAATCACTCTCTCACTTATGATTTCTAGGGTTCTGAAGCCCCCAGGACCTGTCTTCTAGATAGATTAGGGTGTGCTGGACCACCTAGTTTTCAGGGTATGAATGCATGCTTCTGTGTGGGAAGAGGTCTGTTTGGGCAGCAAGCCAGCAAATGAGCCATTGGTTCTTCCGTGCCTACCAGCCATTTTCTCCGTAATGGTACCACATACAGGAGAGATACAAGAAACAATTTCTTCTTGCAGCACATAGTTAAACCATGGAACTCGCTCCCAAAGGAGGCAGTGATGGCCACCAGCGTGGATGGCTTTAAAAGAAGATTGAACAAATTCTTGGAGGAGGAGAGGACGACCGAGGGTGCTCTGCCTGCACAGTCATAGATGGTAATGCTTCTGGAAACTACAGGTGGGGAGACAGTGCTCTTGTCTTTGAATCCTGCTTGTGGGTTTCCCCTTGTGGCATCTTGTTGCCTACTGTGAAAAGGAGACACTGGGCCAGATGCCCCATTGGCCTGATCCAGCAGGTGCTTTTTACCTTCTGGTATGATTTGACACTGATATCTACAGCACTAGTCCAGAGAGTGATCTGGTTCCTGCCCAAAGACTTTGGTCTGCATCACATGCAGGTAGTTGGGGGAAGAAGCCAGAGTTGAACAAGCAAAGAGTGGGATGGAGAAAGGAAGGTGAGGTGGAGCGAGGAGGGCTAAGGTGGTCCAGAAAGTTGTGAAGAGGAGCTGGGTCTTGAAAAGGTACTTGAAAGAGAGAGGGAAGCTGGTCCAAGCAAAGAAGAGGCTGCCCTATACAGAGTCAGGCACAGGTCTCTCCCTGGTCTAGCTGCTGCTGCAGCTGCTGCTGCTGGGGATCTTTTCACCTACTGCTGAGCTACAGCCATGGCACTGCCAATAGAGCAACTCAAGAGCTCTATTGGCTCGGGACAGACTATGTTCTTCTTCACACAATGCAAAATCAATGCCACAGGAGGCAGCGATGGCCCCCATCATGGATGGCTTTAAAAGGGGAATTAGACAAAAGCACACGAGAGCTCATACCAAGAACAAACTTAGTTGGCCTCTAAGGTGCTACTAGACATTATGTGTGTGTGTATATATATATATATGTGTGTGTGTGTGTGTGTGTGTGTGTGTGTGTATTCCACAGAGGGTAGTTAGGATATCAATGGCTATCCATCATAATGGCTGTGTTACAATCCTAGAACTGTAGAGTTGGCACCCTTGCTATTGTAAGGCTTTTTCCGGATTTTGAATTCTTTCTGCCCACCTTGCATATTCACTTACAACATTTCACAACTTTAAATGCCTACCCAGATGATTAGAAAGTTGAGTTATTTTTTAAATCTGTTTTGATTTTTACCTTTTGTTTGTTTTAATGTAGGGCTGTATTTTCCCCCCTCTTGCTTTTACTGTTCTGTTTTCGCTTTGAGGTTTTGTCTTGTTTTATTTTACAAATGGCTAAATTTGTGAAATAAAATCAATAAATTATTTGAGGACTTGGTTGCACAACTATCCAGCCTCTACCTTTGGGAAGGGAGGCAGGCAGCAAGAAGAGAGAGGGCGAGAGATGGCATTTCTGGGTGCTGGAGAGAGCTTTGGGGAAAGATAAGATCTCTAGAGGGCATTCACTTAGGTGCTGAGGAACTCCTACCTCCTCTTTGCCGCCCCTCAAAAGTCACTTGCACAACTCCTCTTTCTTTTACAATGAGCCCAATTCTGGCTTTTACATAAGCTCACTTCTAGACAGTTGAATTGGATTTTGTACTGGCATTTGGAAGTAGACAGTACTCTTTTCAGCCCACGACAAAATCGAAATATGCCCTGCAAAAGGGAACTCACACAGTAGTCTCATTATTTGAACCATAGAATAATAGAGTTTTGTAGGTCATCTAGCCCAACCTCCTGCAATGCAGGAATCACAGCTAAAGAATCTCTGACATGGCCATCCAGCCTCACCCTGCCTTCTTTCATACAACCAGTCCATGAGATTCCTCTAGCTGCGGGCTTCCTCTGCCTTAGCCTCCCTGTTGCCCCTTGTAGAATTCAACAGGGGATGAAGAAGATGGGGACAAAGGTAGAATGAGTTGGCTCTGCCTGTTCTTGGCTCTGGCAACACCCACTTCCCTAAGCCCTACCAGCCCCCACAGCTTTCAGGCAGCTGTGCTATCGAGTTACTACCATTTTTCTGCCTTTTTCCTCTCAGGGGTCCCATCTCCAGAAGACAGGAAAGGACAAAAAGTTGTGAGGAACTCCTTGGATATTCTTCATGCCCTAACCAATGTTGGTTGGTAGTAGGACACCTTTTACTTACTTGCACCCAGGAGTCTGATGCTCCTGGAGGGACCCACCAGACCACATCATGGATCTCCAAAACAGCACCAAGCCCAAGCCACCAGTGGTCTGGCTTACTGGGTTCCCTGGCATGGAATCCAGCCACATCTTGATTTCCATCCCATTCTGCTCCATGTACATCATTTCCATCTTGGGAAATGCCATTATTCTGTTCATTATCAAAACAGACCAAAGCCTCCATGAGCCCATGTACATTTTCCTCTCCATGCTGGCCATGACAGACCTAGGCTTATCCCTCTCCACCATGCCTACCATCCTGGGCATCTTTTGGTTCAACGCCAGAAGAGTCAGCCTGGATGCCTGTTTCACTCAGCTGTTCTTCATCCACTCGCTGTCCTTCATAGAATCCTCCATTCTCTTGGCCATGGCTTTTGACCGCCTCGTGGCTATCCAGAACCCTCTGAGATATGCCTCCATCTTAACTGTGCCAAGGATAAGCAAGATGGGGCTGGCCTTCGTGTTCAGAGGTGTGGCCCTGATTTTCCCACTGCCCTTTCCTTCTCAGGAGGCATCAGTACTGCCGGGCCAATGTCCTCTTCCACTCTTTCTGCCTGCACCAAGAGGTGATGAAGCTGGCCTGCTCAGACATCACAGTCAACAGCATCTACGGGATGTTCGTCATCGTCTCCACGGTGGGCGTGGACTCGCTCCTGATCCTGCTGTCTTACATCATGATCCTCAAGACGGTCCTGAGCATTGCCTCGCGGGAGGAGCGCCTCAAGGCCCTCAACACTTGCGTCTCCCACATCTGCGCCGTCTTGCTCTTCTACATGCCCATGATTGGCTTGTCTGTGATTCACAGGTTTGGGAAGGATTCTCCTCTCCTCATCCGCATTTTCATGGGGTATGTTTACCTGCTGGTGCCACCCCTAATGAACCCAGTTGTGTACAGTGTGAAAACAAAGCAGATTCGGGCCAGGATAATTCCAGATATTCTCCAAGTGAAGGACCAGCTCCTCATTCTTAGAACCTGTTCTGCTTTTCTGAAATTTGCTGGCAAAGGGGAGGTAGTGAGGAGCCACTCTGCAACAGTTTCAGTGGTGATGGTTGGGAACTCTGGGTCAGATGAGGACAGCTGTGGCCCAGCAAGGCTCATCTTATGTTCCTGGTGAGGTCTTGATCCATGTCCTGGGTAGATGGAGAGAGCAGCAGGTGTCTGAAATGCAGGTGTCTAAGATTTTAAAAGACCTCCCAGAGTGTCTTACAAAGACCACTAATAAGGCAGTCCCTGTCGTAAGGCTTTAGAATCTAAAATACCCATTTATTTCTCGGGAGTAGGGTTATAGGTTTGGTTTTATTATTATATTTTGTGTTCTCATTTTGTATTTTAATGTGAAGCGCCCTGTGTTCTTTGGATGAAGGGTGGTGTACAAATTTAATAAATAAAAAATAAATTTCTACCCAATTCCTTGTTAAGTTTGGTGCATCTGCAGCAGCACAACCAGACAGCTTCATCTGCCCCACCTGCAACACAACATGTCCCTCCTGAATCAGTCTCTGCAGCCACAGCAGGTGCTGCAATCTTCCAACAGTTTGACTTCACCTTCAAAGGTTCACTCCTCCATTGTCTCCTGGGACAGACGGATGCCAATCATTTTATTCACCATCCATGTTTTGGCTTTTTACCTTGTTCCTTATTGGCTACATCCACTTTATAATTGCATTTGCATTACCTGGTTTGCCTCAGTAAACAATGAAAATTGTTTCAGATATGACCTTGTGATTTGTGGCCCTTCCTACTTCTTCAGCCGTATCCACTGGGGTGCAATATTGAGCCCAGGTGCGCTTTCCTTTGAGGAAAGGTTGCAGCATTTGAGGCTTTTGAGTTTAGAGAAAAAGTGAGCAAGAGGCAACGTAATCTTAGTTTATAGAATTTTGCATGGCACAGTGAAAAGCTTTTCTCCCTCTCTTCTAACACCCTGCAATCGTGGAGATCCAATGAAGCGAAATGTTGGAAGATTCATTATCTGTCCTGAATCTTCCAACATTTAGCTTCACTGGATCTCCACGATTGCTAGGTGTTAGAAGAGAGGGAGAAAAACTGTGCAGTGCACAGTCAAACTATAAAACTCCCTCCCACAGGAGGCAGGAATGGCCACCAACCTAGATGGCTTTAAAAGAGAATTAGACACATTCCTAGAAGAGAGGGCTATCAATGGCTATTAGCCCGATGACTAAGCTCTGCCTCCACAGTTGAATGCTTCTGAATCCCAGTTGCTGGAAACCACAGGAGGGGAGAGTTGCTCTTATGCCTGAATCCTGCTCACAGGTTACCCATAAGGGGCGCCTGGTTGGCCACTGTGAGAACAGGAGGCTGGAGTAGATGGGCCACTGGCCTGACCCAGCACAGGCTCTTCTTATGTTCTTATGCTCAGCTGCTGCCACCGGACATTTGCCTCCTTGTGTCAGGTGTGGAGAGTCCTCCCTTCCCTTTGGTATCTTCACAGATAAGAATTAACAAGCAGTTGATAGATTTATAGTCTTTTTATTACAGCATCATGTTGTGAACACAAATGCACAGCTCTCCGCAAGGAGGGCAGTTGGCTAGTCCAATCCTCCTTCCGGCTTCCGCAGCATTTTTGAACGCCAACGGGAAGTTCCTCCCTCCCTCTGACTCTGAAATATGGACAAACTGAAATACGCACACTCATATAAGCAGCATAAATTACAACGTCAGTTAAAAATAATGAGCAACTAAACCATTATTACCATCTCAAGGCTGTCTATTCCCATTCCACTCTCGATCTACAAAAATACCAGGAAAAGCAAATATGCCTTTACATGGTGCTGAAATGACCTAAGAGTTGGTGCCAAAGCTGCCTCTAATTTTTTTTTTTGGGGGGGGCACTCCAAAATCTAGAATTCAGCTTTAAAGAGCAGGCTTTTGCAGGGTGGAGAAAACATGTTCGGACACGGAGCATTAAAGCTCTGCCTGGAAAGAGAGGGCCAAAAACTGAGTGTGGATAAGCTATTGCACTACTCCTGTTCTTTTGGCAAGAGGTCATTAGAGGCTGACTGGTGTTGTGCAATATGCTGCTTTAGTTATACCTCTATACAAGTGGAGCATAGGTGGATGAGAATCTAAGAAGAGACTCCTGGATTAGGCCAATGGCCAATCTAGTTCTCAGCCTGTTCTCACAGTGCCCAGCCAGATGCCTGTGGAAACCAGGAAGCAGAGAATGAAGAGCCCTCTCTCCTGTCTGTGGTTTCCCGCAAGTGGATGCAGCTGAACTCAAAGAGATGCTCCAAGTTCCTGGCCTTTTATCTGGTTTTGACACAGAAGATCTTGAAGAGGCCCTGCTGGATTCTCTTGGTCCTTACTCCATAAATAATGGGGTTCATCATGGGTGGAAGGAGCAGGTATATATTTGCTACCAGAATGTGGACATGGGCAGCCACGTGACCAAACCGGTGGGTTAAGAAGGAGAAAAACGCTGGAGTGTAGAAGACCAGGATGACACAGGCGTGAGAGCCGCAGGTGCCAAGAGATTTGACCCGTGCTTCCTTGGAAGGGAGCTGGAAGACAGCCTGGAAAATGAGGATGTAAGACACGATGATCAACACCAAGTCCAGCCCCCCAGTTAGAAAAGCAACCAGGAGACTGTAGGCCCTCTCTGCCCCCGTGTCCACACAGGTCAGCTTCATCAGAGCCATGAACTCACAGTACGTGTGTAAGATGACGTTGCCTCTGCAATACGGGAGCCATTTCAGGAGGAAAGGGTGAGGGCTCAGGAGGATGGCCCCCCGTAGCACGATGGTCAGTCCCCATCTTGGCAACCACATCATTGGTCAGGACCGCTGCATGTCTCAAGGGCTTGCAAATGGCCATGTAGCGGTCAAAGGCCATGGCCAAGATGAACCCAGATTCCATGGTTGAGAAGGAGTGGAGCAAGAAGATTTGGGCCAGGCAGCCATTTATATGGATGCTTCCATGGCCAAACCAGAAAATGCTCAAGATTTTGGGCACAATTGTGGTGGTGACCACAAGGTCGGCACCTGCCAGCATGCAGAGGAATAAGTACATGGGCTCATGGAGGCTCGGCTCTCTCTTGACAACTACCAGGAGGAGACAATTCCCAAGGAGGGTGAGGATGTAGAGACAGCAGAAGGGGATGGAGATCCAGATCTGAACATCCTGTAGGCCTGGAATTCCCACTAAGATGAAGGTGGAAGGGTGGAGCAGGGTCCAGTTGGAAGCCAACATTGTATGCTGAGCTCCTGGGAAAGGCTTCACTGAGCAGCATCCATGGTATGTCTTTGAGCCTGCAAAGAAAGATCCCAGATAGTATTGTAAGTTTGAAGAGGAGTCAGTCTGGATGATGTCACAAGTCCCTTCCAGTTCTTGGGGGTCCCGTACCCAGTAAGGTTAGAATCTGACAGGTATGAAGTTTACGGCATGCAATGCCTTAAGAGAGAATATAATGAAATGATTTACAGGTGGTACATGACACCAGTCAAGCTTGCAAAAAATATATCATTTGCCCGATAATAAATGTTGGAAATGTAAAGAGACTGAAGGCACATTTTTTCACCTTTGGTGGACATGCCCAAGGATTAAGACAGTCTGGGAGATGATTTATAATGAAATGAAAAAGGTATTTAAATATACCTTTTTGAAGAAACCAGAGGCCTTTCTCCTGGGCATGGTCGGCCAATTGGTGCCAAAAAAGGATAGAACCTTTTTTATGTATACCACAACAACAGCAAGAATACTCATCGCGAAGTATTGGAAGACACAAGATCTACCCACCCGGGAAGAATGGCAGATGAAGGTGATGCACTACATGGAATTGGCGGAAATGACTGGCAGAATCCGAGACCAGGGAGAAGAGTTGGTGGAAGAAGATTGGAAGAAATTTAAAGTTTATTTACAGAAACATTGTAAAATTAAGGAATGTTAGAAGGATGTTGGAATGAAATAATGCGGCTTTAGCAGAAATGTTATAAAGGATTAAGGAAAAATAGATTGCTAAACGGTGAAGGAGGGTAAGTAAAGTTACATTATATTAAGATAAAATAGAGGACAAAAACTGGAAAGGAGGGAAAGGATTTGCTGAAATAGTTAATTGAGCTAGAATACAAAAAAGGGAGGTGTGAGGAGGTCAAGGAAATAAGCAAATGAAAGATAAGATATGGGAAGGTTGATTGTATTTTCTCTTTCTCCCCCCCTTTTTTCTTTTTTCTTTTCTCTTGCTTCTTTTTTCTATTATTGTGATGTGATGTGATGTTTTGTATTTCTTAAATATGCTGTTTTTTTTTTCTTCTTGTAACCCTTTAAAATTTAATAAATATTATTTTAAAAAAAATAGAATCTGACAAGAGAAGTTTGCTGAACTGGTCAGACAGATTTCTTTGTAAGATAATGGTCTTAGCTGGCCATTTAAGTGTCAGCATCTCAAAAGAATGAGCTCGGTTGCAGGAGCTACAACTAAAAGGTGATGCAATCCAGGCTAATGGGTGAGCCTCACCTCAAAGCTGCCAGGTGGAGAGAACAATAGGAGTGCATTGTCTCTGAACTGCTGGAAGTAGGCTAGAAGCTGGAGACACAGAGACTAGCTTGCTCTGTGCTGGATCCAAACCTGTGACTAATGGAAGAAGGCAAGAATTCTGTTGTGGTAGTTAATGTACGGTGAGCCTCCCTCCATGCTTATGGGGTGTGCGCTCACAACCATGTATCATAAAGACACCACAGTCTCTGCTGGCCTTCATTCCAAGAAAACTGAACTCCAAGTAAGTGCCTAGATAACCACATGAGAAGACGAGACCCATTGAAGTTGTACAATAATGTAAACAACCTGGAGCGTCTTTTCTTCACTTCCAGGGTGCTCCCTCATCACTACACAGAAACTTCTCGGTACCTGTAATCCATCCATTTCTTTGAATTCAGGCTGTAATGTGAATTTTCTTATTTGTTTTAGGAAAGGAGAAGTGGCTCCAAATGCAGCTGAAGACACTGCACCATGTGAAAACCAATGCAATGATGCCAAAAGACAAACAATTAGAGGAATTATCTAATTAGGGAGCAGGAGGATGCCCTCTGTTTTTGAATGATGTCAAATCTGATGAAGATGCTCTGCAGTTAAAAGTACGATTAGAGGCAGAAAAAGTAAATATAAGCAGCCCTCACTTCTTGTAGGAGGACTTTTTCCTGGTCCCTCCAAATTACCTAGAGCGACGGTGGGGTGGGCTCCCTTCCTTTCTGGGAGGCTCTTCAAGCAGTGAATGAGCAACCAGCTCTTAGGGATATCCCAGCTCTGGATTTCCTGCAGTGAGCAGAAATGACTGGACTATATGGCATTCAGGGATCCCTTCCAATGCTATCATTATATGGTTCTACTGACTCACTCTAGACTCCCCCCTTCCCAATATAACAAGTCTCAGTTCCCTCAACCTCTGGTGCCAAGGGATCAAATATTCTGATGCATTTAAAGTAACTCTTTGTTCACTCAGCTCTTATCTACAGTTTCTAGGACTGCAATTGGGTACCAGGCCCAGAGTTTGCTGAAACGTTTGAATGGCACCCCTCCAGTCTCTTGCCCTCTGAATTTGGCACAAGAGTCTCATTTTGACTCCTCCTGGCAAGCTGGTTTCCCCTGGGCTACTCAGCGTCCTCCTACCTCATTTTCTCTGGCACCAGCGGTGAGGAAAACTGAGCCAAACATTCCCAAACCCCTTTTCCTTCAAGGTCACGATGCCAGGCCCATCAGAGATAACCTCGGTCCTGGAGTGTGCTGAGGCCAGCGTCTGAAGGTAGGCCCCGGTAGCATTCTTGGTTGTCATATCCATCCAAAACACGATTGTTTTGTTCAAACTGTAAATCCCTCAGTACATCTTGAAAAAAGGCCATTAGGTTCTGTACGATGCTTATATTTCACAAAGAATATGCTTGATGCCTCATTTTACCTGAGTTTAAAATATTTCTGTGACTAAATTTCGTGGATTTTTATTTTTAGATGGGCGGAGGGAACCTGTGTGACCATAATGTAAATGTTTATGCAGGGGCAACATTAAGGTTGCTTAAGCTAATCATTTTTTAAATTTAAAGTACTGGTATTTATATAAAGTAACCAATGTCAGGAATTTTGAATGTTAAATGTTGGATATGAATAATAATAACAATACTAATATATACCTCACCCATTTGGCTGGACATTTTATAGTTATGTTAAGAATTTTTATTAGTCAATTGGATATTTTCCTAATAAACTGCTCCCTTGACACCCTCTGAAGAACAGCTTTGAATGAGGAGAAAGATCTCAGCTGCATGGAGAAAGTGAACTCAGTTAGACTTACTCTTGAGTAAGCCCACACAATGCTATGCACACATTTACCTAAAAGTAAAGCTCCATGGTTGGACCCAGGCAGACTTGCTCCCCAAGAAAAGCAGAAAGAACCAAACTGTAAAGTGAGCACGATCCTATCTGTGAGCACTTACTTGGTACTGAAGCACTTACTTCAATAAATAAATCAGAAACTGGTGCAGGAATGGGGCAAAGTAAGCAGAAGGCTGAACAAGGAGAAACAGAGAGAAACCAAGATTAACAGATCCGCCCTTTCCCCATTAAGATCCAAGGACTTTTCTGAAATTCAGTAGCAGTTGCTGGAAGCCGCAGGAGGGGAGATTTCTCTTGTGCTCAGATGCTGCTTGCAGGTCTCCCATTGAGGCATGTGGTTGTCCACTGTGAGAACAGGATGCAGGACTGGACAGGCCATTGGTCTGATCCAGCAGGCTCTGCTTATGTTCTTATTCCCTGTATTTACCTGTTCCTGTGGTAGCAGCAGGTAGAAGGGGAGGGCATCTCCAGAAGGCAGAAATTGGACCTGGGAGGTTTTTATGCACCTCTTGCTCAGGGAGGAGATGGTGCAAATCTGCTGGGAATCTTTTCCCATCAGATTTGCACCATCTGCTGAGAATTGCTACAATCACACTGAGATTCAGCTTGGTTCTAAATGTGTGTTTCATGAACAGTTGTGCAGGAGGGTGGGGGAGCCTCTCTGAACTGCAGTGGGTGGGTGTTGAGGGTTGGAGCAGCCCTCCATCTGTATAGACTGGTTGTGGCAACGTCTTAGCACTTAAAAGGATTTCACAGTGTTGTAAGATGAGTGATCAGACAGGAAAGGGTTAATGGATCCAGAAGTCGTACTGCTGGGGGTGCCATCCATAGGGGATGGCACCCCCAGCATCCACAATGCCAGGGGAATGGTTGGAGAGGCCTCTGGAAACTTGAGAAGCATTTTGCAGGGAGGGCGCTGCTCTTTTTCTCAAACCCCACCCCTTTAACGAAAGATGTTAAGCTCTAGGTGTCTGCGAGGGAGAGTGATGGCAGGAGACCGAGAAAGGTACCAATGCACAGAGAGCGGAACCTGAACTCTGCAAGCATCTTAGGGAAGTGACTGCCTCCCCGGAGGTCAGATTCGGAACTGCAGGTTTTGAAGTGTTAAACAGTGAGATCCCACCTGTTGTGGGGTTATTAGACCTGGGACTTCCACCATGTTTGTGCAGGTGGATATTAGACTTTCTATCAAACCGTTCCCAAAGGGTCAGGTTGGGTTCCCACGTCTCTGCGGATCTCATCACGAATACGGGGACGCCTCAGGGGTGCGTGTTGAGCCCGCTTTTATACACGCTCTATACAGCTGACTGTGCCCCCTGAAAAACAGTTTCTACGCTAATGCAATTCTGGTTCTAAACGCAGCATAAGGGGTTTCTGTAGTATAGTGTGTTTTAAAATGGGGTTTTAGAGTTTTTAGGGGGTTTTGAATGTTTTATGTAGTTTTATGTAGTTTTGTGGTAGTTTTATGTAGTTTTTATGTAGTTTTCAATTTCATTGTTCCGCAAGGGACAATGACAATAAAGATATCGTATCGTATCGTATCGTTCCCTGGGCTTAAGTTGGATCATTAAACAAAAGGCTCTGGCCAAGATAATGAAGCAGAACAGCAGTTAGGAGGCCTGATCTTTATTGTTGCAACAAGACTTCAAGCTGCAAGGAGCAGAGAGAACCCCCAAACAAAGGGTGCTTCTCCTTTTAAATTTCCCCCATACTTCCTGGACGGATGGTGGACCTCCCCTCCAACCCAGTGGTCTTCCTTCTCCCTTTGCTGCCCACCACCTGCCCACTTCGGAGGCGCCAGGCTGAAGCCCTCATTCTCTCTGCCTGGTCGCCTTACTCTTCAGCCTGGGCTGGCAGGCCGGGAGGTGGCAGCTTCGGCAGCAGTGTCATCTGCTGCCCCTGCCCAGGCTGAGGCCTGTGGGGTTGATGAGGCCCGAGGAAGGGGGAAGGAGCAGTGAGGGGGCCACCGGGGAGTCGTGGTCAACGAGGCGGTAGTGCTTGGGCCTTCCTCCCACAGCAGGGACTGTGGCTGCAGGGGCTCCTGACTCTTTCTTCTTCCTTTCCCCCCCCCCTTGGCAGTTCATTTTTTCCTTCAAAATATAGTCCGGCCCCCCACAAGGTCTGAGGGACAGTGAACCGGCCCCCTGCTGAAAAAGTTTGAGGACCCCTGGAATATGGCAACAGGTCTACCCTTATCTGTGAGAACACCTTGGATGCAAAGGGGAAGGAAATAAAGGCAGCAGACCGGACAAAGTCTGGTGACCCCGGCCTTGGATTCCAGTAATGCACCTCTGCTCAACACGTATATTTGTCAGTAAACGCAGAAATTGTAGGAATATAAAGGAATGGGAATATAAAGGAAGGTAAACCTGAACAAGCACCCTCACCCCTGAAGCATTTCCCTGCTTGGAAAAGTGACTGTAACAGAGTAATGTAGGAAAGGGGTCCGTTTGGCAGCATCTAACAACCATGACACCCAGAAACACAATGAACACCCGAGTGCTGCGAATGAACAAGAGGGAATTGTCAGTATCATTGTGCCTTCCTGGCAGGACCCTCCTGGTGAATATAATGCACTAGATAGTCAGGCACTTCATGACAATCCAGCCAGACATACAAGGATTTAGTATGAGTCTCATTTAGCAGAGATTCCATTGCAGGGGTTGGACTGGGTGAGCCTCATGACCCCTTCCAACGCTGCAATTCTATGAGCAAGGAGGAAAGGACTACTTTTTAAATATATTTTGGGGCTTTAGCTTAAGAGCAGGTCCAAATGTGCTCCAGACACACTTTAACCTTTGTGTGATAATCCTGCAAGTTGTGTTTTGGAACCAGTAAGGCAACAGCCTGGCCACATGAAACAGGATGTTGGTGGCGGCAGCAGCAGCTGTGTCAAGAATTGATTGCATTGACAAGATTGCTGTGCATGCAGAAGTCATACAGTGTGGAGGTGCTCAAAAGAGCTTCCAGACTTTAAGAAACATTCATGAGAAGGTTTGGGAAGAGGAGAGGGGAATATTGCACACAGCTGATCGCAGAGAAACCATCGGCTCACCTGGTCCTTCCATAGTCACATGCAACAGCAGCAAACAGGAAAACAAGGAATATGCTCTCGGGCAGAAAACATTAACGGTTCTACTGCTGGGACTTATGTGGTAGCCTCATAACAGAAACAGGGAAGGTGCAGAACAAAAATAAATGTAAGTTTATTCAGCGGCGTAGCGTAGGTTGTCAGCACCCGGGGCAAGGCAAGTAATTTGCGCCCCCTATCCCGGGGCAAGGCAAGTAATTTGCACCCCCCAGTGGCGTAGTGTGGGGGGTGCAGGGGGGCAGGTTCACTGTCCTAACCTTCATTCACCTAACCCCTAACCCCTAACCTGCCGCCGCTGCCAGCTTCTTCTTGCTGCTGCCTGGTCTGGTCTGGTGTGGTTCTCTCCCGCGCTCAGCGCTGCGCTGGGCGGCCGCTGCACTGTCCCTCCCCCAGATAGTCCCTCGCTCTCTCTCCGCACCACACGCCTGGCACCCACCCTCTCCACAGTGGGCGGCGACCCAGCGGCTCGGATCGGATTCGCACAGCCAGCACTGCAGTGAGAGAGAGTGAGCCAGGTAGGGGCGGAGAGCTGAGAGCGCGAGCGCCCCCCCCAGATGTTGCGCCCGGTGCGGCCGCCCCCCCTGCACCCCCCCACGCTACGCCACTGAGCTTATTCAGTTCAGTCCCACTGGGATGATGCAGGGCCCTATTTTCTCATTTCCATGTTTCCAGCAGAGGAGACCCCAAGGGTTCTTAGGATGCTTTCTCGGATTTTCTTTGTCTTTGCCCCGTAGATGATGGGATTCATCATGGGCGGAATCAAGACATAGATGTTGGCAACAATAATGTGGACGCAGGGGTTGACCCTGTGGCCGAATCGGTGGGTGAGGAAGGAGAAGAATGCCGGAGTGTACGAGATCAGGATGACACAGATGTGGGAGCCGCAAGTGCCCAGGGATTTGGCCCGCGCCTCCTTGGAAGGCAGCTGGAAGACCGTCCGCAGGATCAGGGTGTAGGACAGGATGATGAAGGTGAAATCCAGCCCCCCAGTCAGGAAGGCAACAGTCAAGCTGTATGCTCTGGGGGCACGGGTATCTGCACAGGTCAGTTTCACCAGCGCCATGAACTCACAGTAGGTGTGGGAGATGACATTTCCCCTGCAGTACGGGAGCCGCTTCAGCAGGAAAGGGTGGGGCAGCAGGAGCACAGCCCCCCCCCCCAGATCAAAACAGCCAGCCCAATCTTGATCACAATGGTTTTGGTCAAGATGGCGGAGTGTCTCAGCGGGTTGCATATTGCCACGTAACGGTCGAAGGCCATGGCGGCGAAGAAGCCCGACTCCATGGTGGAGAAGGAATGGATCAGGAACACCTGGGCCAGGCAGGCACTGGTGTGGATGCCTCTGTCCTGAAGCCAGAATATAGCCAGGATTTTCGGTAAGGTGGTAGTCGAGACCACAAGATCTGCCACTGCCAGCATGCAGAGGAACAAGTACATGGGCTCATGGAGGCTGGGCTCCTTCTTGATGACCGCCAAGAGGAGGCAGTTCCCCAGAAGGGAGAGGATGTAGATGGAGCAGAAGGGGATGGAAATCCAGGCATGGAAGGCTTGCAGTCCCGGGATCCCAAGAAGGATGAAGGTGGAGGGGTGGAGCAGAGTCCAGTTAGCAGCTGACATGCCAGAACTGGGGACGTGGGCCTGCTCACTTCTGAAACATGGTGGCCTTTCTGAAAGGAAGCAAGTGTTTAGATGTGCTAAGAACATAAGAAGAAGCTGGCAAAACAGGGTCACAGCCCATCTCAAGTGGCACCCTGTTTTCACAGTGGCCAACCAGATACCAGTGGGGAACCCACAAGAAGGATTCATGCACAAGAGCATCGCTCTCGCCTGCCATGGTTTCCAGGAACTGGCATAGCTGTTGGTCATATGAGATGTGCCTGAACGAGGACCATCCATCCTGAGCGCCAATCCCTCTGTCCCTCAACACTGTCAAGGTGGTAGCACATGACCTGGATTCTTTGCAGCATGCTGAGCAGGGAATGAGCTCAGCCAGAAGGACTTGTGATATGTGTGTGAATCTGTGTGTGTCAAGAGCAACAAATAACCCTGGCAAGGATCCAAGCAGTGCCTCAAGCAAAAATTGAATAACTTTCCAAACAAACTTTATTTGTTTTGTTCCATTCACAGGGATGGAATTCCAGCAACAGGACACACAATGATAAGAAACAATTGTCAGATACACAAAACCATTCCAAACAGGAATGGTTCACTTTCTGTGAAGTGGCCTAATCCTTCTCCACGATTCACTGGTAAGGTTAAGATCAGTGAGAATTAGACATGCTTGGGATCCTGTTGTTTGTTTCCAAAGTTGGGTCTTAAATCAGTTCTACATGCAGAGGCAACACTTTCTCCAGCAAGAGCAGACTCTACTATTTATCTGAGGAAACTTTGGATTAGGAATAGGGAGCGAAGTTCATTCAGTTTACAGTTCAACATAAACCAGCCTAATTTGCTCTTCCTGAACCACTAAGCAGTCCAAAATGCAGCCTTGAAAATCTGCACTTCTCAAAATTTGCAGCCTTTCCGCCAACACAAAAATGTGTTTATTAAGGGGAAACTGCACGCAACCACGGGTTAATGGGAACAAGGGACAAAAACGCATTGCCTTGTGCTAAATAGCTTGCTAAAGTGTGTTGGCTGGACAAGGCGGTAAGCAAAAGTGTGTCTGTGTTTCTGTGCGCCCATTAAAAATAAACCACAAACTGGTGCAGAAGTGGGGAAAAGAAAACATGAGACTCAAAACAGAGAAACTGAGAGAAACCAAAATTGACAGACACACCTCTTCCACATTATTTTTTAAATTAAACATGCATTTATTCAGAAGTTGCATTACAGCTTTGTCCACTGCCATAATACCACAGAACAACCACTCCACTCATAGAATCATAGAGTTGGAAGAGACCACAAGGGCCATCGAGTCCAACCCCCTGCCAAGCAGGAAACACCATCAGAGCACTCCTGACATATGGTTGTCAAGCCTCTGCTTAAAGACCTCCAAAGTAGGAGACTCCACCACACTCCTTGGCAGCAAATTCCACTGTCGAACAGCTCTTACTGTCAGGAAGTTCTTCCTCATGTTTAGCTGGAATCTTCTTTCTTGTAGTTTGGATCCATTGCTCCGTGTCCACTTCTCTGGAGCAGCAGAAAACAACCTTTCTCCCTCCTCTATGTGACATCCTTTTATATATTTGAACATGGCTATCATATCACCCCTTAACCTCCTCTTCTCCAGGCTAAACAAAACCAGCTCCCTTAGCCGTTCCTCATAAGGCACTCCTCAGTCTTTAATCACCTTCACGTTGGCTCACCCGATACCCTCAAGAGGAACCCAGCTACCTTTCCCCATTTTGATCCAAGGACATTTCTGAAATTCAGTAGCAGTTTCTGGAAGCCACAGGATTCCCTGTATTTACCTGTTCCCGTGTCAGCAGCAGCAGCAGCAGCAGCTGGTAGAAGGCGAGGGCATCTCCTGGGGTGGTCAACAGGCAACAGGCAGGATGCCCAGGAAAGACAGAAGGCAGAAGTTGGAACTCAGAGGTTTTTATGCACCTCTTGCTCAGGGAGGAGGCAAGGTCCCAGCAGATTTGCACCATCTGATGAGAATTGCTACAATCACACACAGATTCAGCCTGGATCTAAATGTGTGTTTAATTACCAGTTGTGCAGGAGGGTGGGGGAATCATAGAATCATAGAGTTGGAAGAGACCACAAGGGAATCTAGAACACCAACATTTGAAGAATCATAGAATCATAGAGTTGGAAGAGACCACAAGGGCCATCGAGTCCAACCCCCTGCCAAGCAGGAAACACCATCAGAGCACTCCTGACTTATGGTTGTCAAGCCTCTGCTTAAAGACCTCCAAAGTAGGAGACTCCACCACACTCCTTGGCAGCAAATTCCACTGTCAAACAGCTCTTACTGTCAGGAAGCTCTTCCTAATGTTTAGGTGGAATCTTCTTTCTTGTAGTTTGGATCCATTGCTCCGTGTCCGCTTCTCTGGAGCAGCAGAAAACAACCTTTCTCCCTCCTCTATGTGACATCCTTTTATATATTTGAACATGGCTATCATATCACCTCTTAACCTCCTCTTCTCCAGGCTAAACATGCCCAGCTCCCTTAGCCGTTCCTCATAAGGCATCGTTTCCAGGCCTTTGACCATTTTGGTTGCCCTCCTCTGGACACGTTCCAGTTTGTCAGTGTCCTTCTTGAATTGTGGTGCCCAGAACTGGACACAGTACTCCAGGTGAGGTCTGACCAGAGCAGAATACAGTGGCACTATTACTTCCCTTGATCTAGATGCTATACTCCTATTGATGAGGCCCAGAATTGCATTGGCTTTTTAGCTGCCGCGTCACACTGTTGGCTCATGTCAAGTTTCTGGAGCCTCCCTGAACTGCAGTGGGTGGGTGTTGAGGGTGTGAGTTGGAGTAACTCTTCTGGGGGAAGTATAAGGGGCATTCCCAGGAGTGCTTTGCTGCTCAGCACTTCAGCACAGGGTTCAGGTGATGGAACATGGCCTGTGGCAAGGATGCTCAGCAGCCCTATATGGTTACAACAACCCTGTAAAGTAGGCCGGTGCTATACTCTCCCCATATTGCAGCTGTGGGGGCTCCTGAGGCTGAGACAGGGGCCTAGCTAAAGACACCAAATTACACAAGGGCAGAGGCTGGAACCGGGGACCCCCAGCTATGTAGCTCATAGCACAGTCCTAACCAGGCCTACTCAGAAGAAGTTAATCCCTTTGAATACAATGAGGCTTGCTCCTGGGTAAATGCCAGTGTCATCTGTACTGAGCTAGACAGATCTAGCTTCCTCAGATCAGCAAAGTTCCCTGGGTTGAGAGAATGGTGCTCCCTGCTCAGGCTGGCTGCCCTAGCCCACCCCTCAAGGCCATTACCCAGGACCGGATTAAGCATTCAGCAAAATAAGCACATGCTCAGGGCTTCAAGGGAAGGGGGCAATTCAGACATTTCCCATGCTGGATTTTTCACATTAATGGTCACTAATTGCTCAGCTGAGCTTTCCTTTCCTCAGCTGAAGTCTATGCAAAATCCCAACAGAACTACTCTGCAACAAAGGCAGGCTGAGAGTCTTATCTCTCTCAAGAATAGAAGGAAATGCAACGTGGAAGATGAGTTTTGATAATGCAATCAGAAAAAGTAGGATCCCCCCCCAAAAAAAATATATAAAGTGGAAGTATACAAAAATAAACATTCTTTCCCATCTTACTTTAAATTTTGTTTCATTTCAAAAAATAAATGGACCACTTATAAACGCCATCTCCAATTCCTTGAAAGATTCCATCAACGGTGTCTCTGAAAACTTTTACACATCACTTGGGAAGACAGGCGAACTAAGGTCAGTGTACTGGAAGAAGCAAAGATCACCTGTGTTGAAGCGATGATTCTTCAACATCAACGTCATTGGACTGGTCATGTTGTGCGGATGCCTGACGTCTTCCAAAGCAACTACTCTATTCCGACCATAAAAATGGAAAGCGTTATGCTGCTGGTCAACAAAAGAGGTTTAAGGACTGTCTCAAGGCAAATCTAAAAAAATGTAGTATAAACACTAACAACTGGGAAACACTTGCCTGCGAGCGCTCCAATTGGTGTCCAATTGGTGTTTACCAAAGGTGTCATGGCTTGAAGACAGTTGAACTCAGTACACAAAGGAGAAACGTGCCAAGAAGAAGGCACACTTGGCAAACCCACACTGCCCAGACAATGTCCCCACTGGGGAAGGACATGTGGATCCAGAATTGGCCTCCACAGTCATTTATGGACCCATTGTTAAAACCGTGTTTATGGAAGACAATCTTACTCGGCTACGAGTGATTGCCAAAGAGAAGACACTCAGGTTAAATATGAGAGTAAATAAAACTATCTAACATAAAGACACCACAGTCTCCGCTGACCTTCGTTTCAAGGAAACCGAAGATGGGCCAGGGATCCCTGGAGTCTCACCGCTCAGAGACTGGGATAGTTTGCAAATAGAAACACACACACACACAAGAATGTATTGCTGTGTTCCTAATACAGTGGTACCTCTACTTACAGTCACCTCCAGTTACATATCCTTTGGGATACGCACCCGGCAAATTTCTGGGTTTCACCGTGTGCGCATTCGGAGGAGCACTCTATGCACTGCATGTATGTGCAGAAGTGCACTAACGTGCCACTTCCAGTTGCAGAAACCTTGGGATCTGACTGGAGCTCTGGAATGGATCCCATCTGCAACCGGAGGTACCACTGTACATAACCATGTGTGAAGAACTTTTAGATACATCCATCCTCCAACCACCTCCAGACACTCACACAGCCCCTTCACCACCTTCACTGGTTCTGATTTTAAGGAGAGGTAGAGCTGGGTATCATCCGCACACTGATGAACATACAGCCCAAACCCCCTGATGATCTCTCCCAGCGGCATGGGGGAGAGGACAGAACCCTGAGGCACCCCACAAGTGATAGCCCAGGGGTCTCATCCCCCATCACCACTTTCTGAACATGGCCCAGGAGGAAGGAGAGGAACCACTGCATAACAGTGCCCGCAGCTCCCAGCCCCTCTAGCCAGTCCAAAAGGATGTCGTGGTTGATGGTATCAAAGGTCGCTGAGAGATCCAGCAGAACTAGGAAGCACCTTTGTCCCTAGCCTGCCAGAGATCATTGACCAGTGCAACAAAGGGAGTTTCAGTCCCATGATTAGGCCTGAATCCCAATTGGAAGGGTCTAAATGGTCCACAGCATCCAGGCGTGCCTGGAGTTGTTCAGCAACCACCCACTTGATCACCTTGCCCCAAAATGAAAGATTTGAGACTAGGTGATAGTTGGCCATATTGGCCGAGTCTAATGATGTTTTTTTAAGAAGCGGTTTAATGACCGCCTCTTTCAGCGGGCCTGGGAAGGCTCCCTCACAGAGGGAAGCATTCACCACCCTGCAGAGCCCATCGCCCAGCCCTTCCCGGCTCACTTTTATTAGCCAGGATGGGCAAGGATCAAGGAGAGAGATGGTCGGTTTCAGTCGTCCAAGCAGCTTCTCCACATTCTGGGAGGTAACAGATTGGAATTGATCCCACACAAGTTGACTAGACAGGACTCTAGCACCCCCTCCCCACCCAGGCCATGCTCCCAGGGGTTAAGTCTATCTTTTTTCGAATATGAGCGACTTTATCTGCAAAAAAAAAACTTAGCAAAAACATTTCAGGAGATCTTAGGGTCTTTACCAGGCCCTGATAGCAAAGGTGGTTCCGTTAGATTGTGAACCACCTGAAAGAGTCGCCTGCTGCTGTTTTCTGCAGATGCAATAGAGCCACTTGGTAGGCTTGACGTTGAGCTCTAACCCGTGTCCGGCCCAATCCAGAATGAGTTTTCCGCCACCGGCGCTCTAACCGTCTCAGCGATTGCTTCATTGCCCTCAGCCCTGGGGAAAACCATGGGGCTGTCCGGGCTCCATGCAATCGGAGAGGGCGCTTCGAAGCCAGACAGTCAATACCCTTAATTAACTCCACATTCCAGCGGGACACTAGGGAATCAGCTGAAAGGCCATCAACATGGAATAAAACATCCCCAACCACTCTCTGAAAATCATTTGGATCCATTAAGTGGCGGGGGTGGGCCATCCAAATTGGTCCCACCTTCCTGCAAGGATCTGACCATGGCACTTCTTTTGTTTCAGTTTCACTTAGTATCAGATCACCCACATCCATAGAGGTGAACCCCAGGTCTAAGGCATGTCCGCGACTATGAGTTGGGCCAAACCTATTCAGGGACAGCCCCATGGAAGCCAAGTCCTAAGTGGCCCCTTGTAAGGTCATGTCAGCATGGATGTTAAAATCTCCTAGGACAACTAATCTAGGTGTCTCCAGGAGAACATCCACCACAACCTGAAGCAGCAGGGAATCCTTGGTGTAGCAGGGAGGTTGGAACCCCAAAAGAAATCCTGTACTGCCCCTATTGCCCAACTTCCAGAACATTTACCCAGAAAACTGGGTCTTCCTAATAGGACACCTGGTACAAGCTAATGACTTCCTAAAAATCACTGCAACCCTCCCTCCCTGCCCACATGACCTGGGTTGCTGTGCATAAGAGAATCCTGGTGGACAAGCAGCGACAAGGACAGGCCCATCTGCTTCATCCAACCAAGTCTCAGTTACACATGCCAGGTCAAGTCCTCCATCCACAATTAAGTCATGGATGACAGCCGTCTTGTGAGTCATTGACCTGGCATTGCACAGCAGCACTTTAAGATGTGGGTCTCCCTTGCTGATTCCAGTATCCACCAGACCCGGAGGCAGGGATAGTCCTCAAACAACGACTAAACCTGCCTCCTCGGTAATGACATTAGCATAGCTCCTCCTTCTTTCTGTGATCACTGAGATCGGTTGTCGCCTGTAGAACTTGCCCCAGCCATTCTGTTGGGTGGGGCCCACTCCCCAGCAGTCCTGTCCCCCTCTTCTTAAGAACCAAATACAAACTATACAATAACTATACAGTAGGTCAGTAGAAACTAATTTAAAAAAACAAGAACAACACACAACAACTTACATTTATACTGAAATTAAACTAATCCCCAGCCCGAACTAAACGTTTATCCCACCCCCAACAGAGGAAAAATCCAAGACCCAACATTGGAAGCGCCACAGATTAAAAACCATTTTAAAAGATTTGCCCCAGCCCCAGAGTTTCTTCCAGTGAGTCTGGGCTCCCCAGGACTCAGAGCAGGGCAGTGCCCCTCCAGCCCCCCAGGAGTCTCTTCTGTTGAGCAGGGGGAGTCTGGTCCTCGCCCCCCCCCCAGGCCAGGTGGGAAAAGGCCTTGCAGGGAGCAGGTCTTCCTTCCAGCACTCAGGGCAGCAGCAGCAGCAGCAGCAGCAGCAGCAGCCTTGGGGATTTGAAAGGATTTGAGGTGATGCATCCTCGGTCTGCGTCTCATGTGTTCTGTGTTTTAAAGGTCTCTGAGATCTCTTGATGAAAGGAGGGAGATGCTGAGAGTCCAACCAAGAGCCTCACCCCCAAAAGGGTGTCTGGGCATTGGAGGAGCCAGGGGGGCAGCTGCCCCCCGAAATCCATAAAAAATGATAGAAATCTGAGGTTCTGCCAAGTGAGAGAGGGCTGAGCGGGGGGGGGGGGAGGGGGGGACACTCGGCTTTGAAAGGGTTAAAGGGAACTGAGCTGCTTTCCTAGAGAGGCCAGGAAGCAAGGGGGGGCAGGTCCGCCAGAGCCAAGGCCCCTCCCTCCCCAGTCCTTCCCTGCTTCGGTGTCTCTCCTGGGATCTGGTGAGTCTCCTCTCTCTCCCCCCAGAGGGTGCAGTGGGGAGACGGGGGGGGCAGGGCTGCAGCAGGGGAGGAGGCCTGGGGGGGCCTGATCTGCTCATGGGGGGGGACCCCAAGTCAGGGCGGAGAGGGTCCTGCCAGGGAGGGGCCAGATCTGCCACGCTCTCCTTCCTGCAGATCAGAGGATCCCAAACTCATTTGACCCTCCGCTCCCCCCCCCTTTCAGAAAAGATCTCCCTTCTTTAAACAAAGGAGTCCCTGGGACTTTAACTCTGTGTGACATCGCTCAGCCTCATTGCACAACAGAGGAAACATCTGCAAATGGTTTTGCAAAGCCAGACGAGGAGGTGGACTAGCCCCCCCCGAAAAAAAGGGTGGGAGAGAAAGGGCAGGAATAAAGAGAGGGATCCCAGCCCAGAGTCCGGCTGCTGCATTGGGGACCAGTTTCCCAGTGTCTCCCAGGGCAGCTCCCCACGGAGGCCACTGCAGCAATCCCCTCGCACCCAGAGCAGGGCATCCCAGGACCACATCCTCTCTCTCCCAAAGGGATTGTTGATGGCAAAGCAGCCGGAAATGGGCGCTGCTACTCCCTGAGCCTCCAGGAACCTGGGCATCAATGGCTGTGCGTGTGTTAAGATATCTAATAGAATAATCATAATAAATTGCCAGCCTAAATTTCAAGGGAGGTGTCTTTGGCCCCGCCCACTTGGCCCTCAGGGGGTTGGCCAGATACATACCTGGCCCTCGGAGCAAAGAAAAAGGGACCCCACCCCAGGAGTATGTCTGGAGAGTGGCAGAGAGTCCAAGTGCAAGAAAAGGAGACAGAAGCAGGGGAGTGGGGGTGGGGGGAGAAGAACTCCTGAAGACCCCCGGGTGAGGACCCCCACTAGAGCCAAGCATCCATTATTTAAAAGATACAAATGACTTCCTTGTCAGTCAGTTCTGACTTCATGCATTGACTGGAAGGCAGCAGAAACCAGGCTGATTCTTCTCCCAGTTGCCTCCACATTTTGCATTGCAATCTTTCTTCTAGGAGAGCTAGAGGCTGCCTCCTCCTCCTCCTCCTCCTCCTCCTCCTCCTCCTCCTCCCTGTTATTCTTCCCTCTTGCTCGCTAAGGGAACCTTTTTCTTCTACCAACCTACAAATTCTGTTGCCTCCACATTTGTTGCCTCCACATTTTGCATTGCTAGAAAGCTAGAGACATATTTCTACTCCTCTTACTCCACTTTCGCCCCAAAAAGATAGCTCATGGTTTGGGCTGTGGTGCAGTCCACCCCTAGTTCCCAGCAAGACTCGTCCATGCTTGCTCAGGGAACCTTTTTCTTCTCCTGATATTGTACAGCTTTTGTAACAGAACAATGTATTTGCTTTGTAGGATTTGCTAGAGCTTCTCATTTAGACGGGCAGAACTTGGCAGAAGACCAAAGGGTTCCTTCCGATCTCTCAGAGGCTTCCTGAGAGCACAGATGGATGAGCGAGACAGAGCTGGCCCTGAAGCAGGAAGAGGCCATGCCATCCAAACTGGGAGCAGTGGGGGATTCTGGGAAAACTCTGTGCAGAAGATCCTGGGTGAGGAGGACGCCCTCCGCTCAGAGGTGCAGAGTCAGCAGTTGAGGCAGTTCTGCTGCCAGGAGGCCAAAGGACCCCGAGAGGTTTGCAGCCGACTCTACCACCTTTGCCACCAGTGGCTGAAGCCAGAAAGGCACACGAAAGCTGAGATGCTGGACCTGGTGATCTTGGAGCAGTTCCTGGCTGTCCTTCCCCTGGAGATGGAGAGCTGGGTGAGGGAATGCGGAGCGGAGACCAGTTCCCAGGCGGTGGCCCTGGCCGAAGGTTTCCTCCTGAGTCAGGCAGAGGAGAGAAAGCAGGTGAGAGAGACTTTCCTCTGGATACTCCAAAGGAGCTCCAAACAGGATGGAGAACATCCCATAATGCTCTATTGATGGCCCATCCTTTTTCTGGGAAGACATCCATGGAATGAGATCTCGTACCCTTCAAGTCTTTGTCATTCTCTTTCTAGTATTTCTCCCTATTCTCTGTTTTGAATCCTTGTTTCTTTTTCAGGGAAAGGATCTCTTTGCAGAAATGGACCTGGATTCCTGTGAGGCAGAGAGGCCTCCGTTGGACACCAGAGAGAGGCCGCTGGGTAAGGAGGAAGGTGGTTTTACTCCATTTGGTCTCGTTCTGTTGGATTTCCAACTCATCTGAGGGTTCTATTCATCTTGTTTTGGGGGAGACAGTTGGGAACAAGGGTCCAGAGGAGGGGAGATGAATTTCTGCACAAACAAACATATGAAATGGGCACAAATGTCCAAATACTCTCAGCAGGTAAGGCTTTCTCAAAGACCCATCTGTAATTAGAGATGCCCTGTTTCTCCTGTGAGAGAAGCAGGCACTCCTGGCATCCTGCTTACCTTTTTTTCTTTTGCAGGTGAAAGAATGATGCCAGCAAGACCTCTTTATCCGCCTTTTCATGGGGGCAGAAGGGAAGCAGCGGCTATGGAACCAGATCAGGTCAGGGGAAGCTGCCTTGTGGGGACAGAGGCTGAGGGATGGAGCAATATCATGGACTGGTTGGGCACAGAGGAGTGGTGGGAGGAAGCAGCCGGGGAAGCAGGAAGGGAAGACAGCTCAGAGCCGAAGGAGTGGAGGAAGGATGAGCGGTCAGAGGCGGAAGAGGGAGAAGCCTGGGAAGAGGAGGTGTCAGAAGCTGAAGGGGAAACAGGGCTTAGTGAGCTGGGAGACTCTGTGGCAGAATGCAGTCCAGAATCAGAGGCAGAAGAGGAAGGAGGCGAGTGGGAGGAGGGAGGTCGAGAGGCAGAGGTGAGTCAGGAGAAGGAGGAGCCACCGGGGGCTCCCTCTCCTTCTGCCAGAAGCCCCCCTCCCTGCTTGTCTTTCAGAGCCAGCAGATGGCTTACAATGGAGGAGCAAAGGCAGGCTGCACACTGGCGCATTGTTCAATTGCTTGCAAGAAGCTCGAGAGAGGAGGGGACTTGGAAAGCTGTGGGGAGCCGGGAGCCTTCACTCTTTGCAACTGCTTTTGTGCAGGAAGAGGCTCAGGGAATGAGCTGCTGTTCTCATGAGGCCCGAAACTCAGCCAAGTCTGTGAATATCGTGTTCTTGCTAAGAAAGTGTGAACTCCAGCTGTGTACTGTGGGATTTCCTATCCATAGAACTCTGACACCAGCCTTCTGAATGTCGCCAGTAGGATTCATCTGTAGTTGCAGTTTTCATGGAATCCTAGAGTTGAAAGGGACCCCAAGGGTCATCAAGTCCAACCCCCTACATTGAAAGATCATCCAAGACAGATGGACATCCAAACTAGGCTTATTTTATTTCTAAATTGATCATTGAATGCTAAAATTGGTTTCTAAGCAGTGAACAGATGAGAACAAATAGTGGCCAGCATTCACCTAACCAGCCCCATCGTCTGCAAAATGGGGCCTGCCCCCACTCCTCCCCCTCTCCATGCCCCCATGAACCCCCTGAATTTGGCTCTAGGGCATTGGAAGGGAACCTCCCCAGAACAACTCACGAGGAGAGGAGAAAGTGGATCCTTCCATCGGGGAAACTGGAATACTTGCATAGGCAGAATAACGTGCAAAACATAAGCTGGAGTACCACCTATTTGCACAAAGACGAATACCTGTAATTAAAAGCAGGAAAAAATAATTCAATTAAAGTTTTAAAATAAGCATCCATAATTAACATGTACAGCAAAGCAATCCTATTGAAATAACACAGCAATTAACAGGAAGGAAATAACAGAGCATTGTGTAGCAGATCATATTTCTGCTGTCTCAGAGGAGGACATTTCCCTTTTTCTTTTAGGGTCCAGTGTGCTTTGAAGATGTCGCTGTTCGTTTCACGGACGAGGAGTGGGCGTTGCTGGATCCTGACCAGAGAGCTCTGCATAAGGACGTCATGGAGGAGAATCGTGGGATCGTGGCCTCTCTTGGTAAGGCTCCCTGTGGGATCGTCCTATCTGCCTGGAAATTCAAAAAATACCTCTATGTGACCAACCTCATATATTTTCACAGAGCTCAACAGCGCCCCCTACAACACCTGGGAACCTAACACCCCCACAGGAAACAGCAAATTGCAGTTTTTTCTGTGAACCATTTTCCTCTAGTTCTGCCTTTTTATACCATGATTCGGCTAGTCTGAACTGCCCAGGCATCTCAAATGTCAGCTTCAGAGTTGTTAGGAAAGATAAGCAGCTTCTATCAGGTTTTCTGTTTTTATTTTTGCTGCTATCAGTCTTGGGTTGACCAAAGAGATGACTGACACTGGAGATGGAGGGGATGCCATGACTGAGCCAAACAAAATCCGTCCCAGAGCAGAGCCAGGCTTATTGAATCTCAGGTAGTAGTAGCAGTGATAATAATAATAATAATAATAAATAATAATAATAATATTTACACCCTGCCCATCTGGCTGGGTTGCCCCAGCCACTCTGGGTGGCTTCCAACACACATATAAACATGATACATAAATAATAACCATCTGATCGCATATAAAAAGTACATTAACTTTAAAATGATCAACTTATACTAGTGGCCAAAATTGTGGATACCTTTTATGAAAAGTGTATTTCTGAGATATGATGGCTCATAACACCACTTTTTGGGGAATAATACCATAAAATTATATAGCAATGGAAAGATAATTTAATGAAGAATGTAATGCAAGAAATTTTATGAGGGAGTATTTATTAGAACAGTAGTCATAAAGAAAAAAGTTGGTAACCTTTAGCTTTAATTACGGCCTTAGCATGGAGCGAACCAAGTTTTTTAGTTCTGCAGCTGTAATAATGTGACACCAAGACTGAATTATTGCCTCTATTAATTAGGCTTTATTGCTGGGTTGCTTTTGACTAAGAAGTTTCTTTAGTCAGCTCCATAGACTTTCACTTGGGTTAAGGTCTGGGCTATTCCTAGGCCATTCCAGCAGTGGAATATTATTATCTTCAAACGACCTTTTGCACACAGCAGCAACATGACATGGAGCTGAATTCTGTTGAAATATAAAATAATTAAATAAACAAATATTTATGCAAACATATGTAAATGCTTCAGTATATGGGGAAAGATCACATGCAGAACGCTTCAGTTTGGGCTCAAGTATTTCATTTATGTATTTTGGGAAGTTTACATTTCCATTGTCAGTGTATGACTTCCTTTGTCTCCTCAGCCTGGTCCTCAGACCCTTGTCGGCATAAAGGAGTCCACAAGAAGAGTGCCCTTGCAGAGTATTTTCTGCTTTTATTCTTAAAAGTCTTTATCTGCAAAACAGCCGACCAACTGTACACACATCAACACTACCAGATTTCACCAACCAACCCACATCCAACACTAACATTGACCACTCTATATATACAGGTACAATTAGGAGAAAGGTTGCATGAGTCATTGTAGGCCGCTGACTCATGCTAACTTAGTTCTTTTAGCATTAAAGAAACAGCGGCCAAATTATAGCCGTGACACCCATTAATGAAACAAATTCATAACACTAGCTGGGTGTTTCACGGTCGGTGTAATGCATGTAGGATGTAAATCTTCTTTGATTCTTCTACTCCCGTATTTCATGCCATCACTACCAAGCAAGGAGATTTGGGTCTCATCACTCCAAATAACACTATCCCATTGTTCCGCTGCCCATATACCATAGGTTTAATCTTTTCAACCTTTGCTTGAGAGAGAACAATGGCTTTTTCCTTAGAATTCTAGCATTTAGACCAGTCCTTGCACTCAACTTCGCATTACATTGCACCATGTCATCTTCTATACACCCAGATGATTTTCTTCTGTCACGTGAGCACAGTCTCTCCATTCTTCGATCATCACTTGCTGTTGTGCACCTTTTCCTGCCTTTACCAGTCTGATTTTGGAGTGAAGTGAGTTTCTTCTTTTTTAAAAATAATTTTTATTAACAGGCCAATCACATCACATTAATTCCAAAAAACAATAATTCCAAATTACATAGCCAATTTTTTTAAAATTTTTGTTGGGGCTACCCATGCTTCAAGCTCCGAAAGGGATCCGATCATCTCTCTTGCTGCTGCTTTAATTACACAGTTCTGTCAAAATAATATTCACAGTTCTATTCAATCTTCTCTTTGTTGTTTTCCTCATCTTCTTGTTGTTATCTCCTTTCTTTGTGATCTCTGATAATCTCCACAAGCGGGTTGAAGACAAACATCGTTATTTCCTGTGTGGATTTTACACTCATCCAAGAGCCATAAAAGTTGACAGACGCCATTTCAACACCTCCGTACAAAACATTCCGACAGTCTGTCCTGATCTCCCCAGGCCCGCCGCTCCCTCATAAATTTTCTCAGGGGGCCCTGCTAGGCTGAACCCACACTCCAACATAGTAACAGCCATAGTCCTCCTCCCCCTGGATTCCTGCGGGCGAGCCTGCCATGATAAATCTCTTTTTATAACTGCGTCACAAAGGACTTACTTTCGTTTCCCGATGCTCCCATAAGCCACATCCTTGCATAGTAACTAATTTCCACACAGTTATTATTTCTCCTGCTTGTCATCAGTAATTGCAACGATTCTTTTTTTTGGGGGGGGGGATTATTCGGTACTCACATAAGACAAAAAAAGAAAAGTTTTTTCTCCCCCCCCCTTTTCAGTCTTGCTCCGACATACCGATCCTTTGATGAATCTTCTTCTTGATTTATTCCTCTTCTTGATTTATTATTAAGTCCAGCCCATCGCTCCTCTTCCCAGAGATCCCTTTAGTTAGCAGTCCTTATTCCCGATCATCGCTTGAAGTATGTGTGTTTGCTTCTGTTCTGATTATTTTGAGCTCCCGCAACTAGCTGCGCAGATCAGAGACAGCGTCCAGGAGAGCCGACCCACATGAGGGCTTTTGTGCCTAGTGCCCTCACCCCCTTTCGAATCTGGGGGTGAATTATGGGCACAGCAGGCAAGGCAGCGTTCTCCATTCCCTTGGGGTAACGAGGGAGGCTGCATACTCCCATAACAGCCTCTTAATTACCTCGTGTGAGCCGGAGAGATGGTATTGTCGGCCATCTTCCGATGCGCCCCCTAGCGACCCCCCAGTGAATGAGTTTCTTATACCTCTTCAAAACTATAGAAAGGCCAGCTTTGGTTAAGTTTTCCCAAATCTTTCTTCTGATTTCTTCATAACTGTAGCCTTGTTCACTTAAAAGTATTAGTTTGCATCTCTTTCTGGGTAACCAGTCAACTCTTTGTGCCATTTAAAATTTTTTATTATGTTCTGCCAACTCACTAAATGAAAGAACACGAAAAAACCAGCCAACTTGATAGCAATCACATAAGACACTAACAAAAGTCAACCTAAGCAAGTAGTGCTTCTGCTTCCTATTTCTGGTTATTTGGCTATAATTTTTGATAAAATGCAGCTAATTGAACTTTGTTGCATTATGTTCTTGCTCAGATTATTTTCCCACTGATATATGATTTTATGATATTACTCCAAAACAAGTGGTGTTGTAAGCCATTAAAGCTCTGGAATACACTATTTCCAAAAAGGCTTCCACAATTTTGGCCACTACTGTACAGTGGGACCTCGCAAGACGAATGCCTCACAAGACGAAAAACTCGCAAGATGAAAGAGTTTTTCATTTTTTGAGTTGCTTCGCAAGACGAATTTCCCTATGGGCTTGCTTCGCAAGACGAAAACGTCTTGCAAGTTTGTTTCCTTTTTCTTAAAACCGTTAATACCCAGGGTGCATTGCTTGAAGAGGTGCAGTTGTGGCTTGACTTCGAGGAGCAACTCATAGCACGTGGTGTGGTAGCCTTTTTTGAGGTTTTTGAAGACTTTGGTGATTTTTGAAGCTTTTCCAAAACTTCTTTTGCAGCCATTTGGTAAGTTAAACTTTCTTGGGGGGTTTTGGATTTTGGGTTGGGGTGTTTGGAATTCAAGGACTTGGTGTTAGGGAGGGGTTTGCAAGAATATGGAAGCTTGTTTGTTTTTTTTCCCTGCATTTTTATGATTTTTTGTGACCATTGGGTCACTCTGCTGTTATTAAAAAAAAAGATTTCTGGGTTTGGATTTCTGTGTGGTGGGTGGCTGGGGGGGGTGTCAGGGAATTGTTGAGAAGGGGTTTGCAAGAATCTGGAAGCTTGTGTGTTTTCTGGGAGGTTTGGTGCTTTTGATTTTTTTGGATGTGAAGCACTGATTTTTTTGGGGGGGGGGTTGTGAAGGTAGGAGCTGTGCTGCCGTGGGGCCCAAGAAGACTGCTGCTGCAGAGGCCGGCGAGAGGAAGAAGGAGAAGGTTACGCTGGAAATGAAGAAGGAGATCATCTGGAAGCACGATGGTGGAATGCGTGTGACAGACCTCGCCAGGGAGTACGGGAGGAATCCATCGACTATCGGGACCATCCTGAAGATGAGGGAGAAGATCCTTGCGACTGATGTAGCCAAGGGAATCAGCAGGATCGTGAAGAACCGCCCAGCTGTTCTGGAGGAGGTGGAGAAGTTGCTGCTCATCTGGTTAGAAGAGAAGCAGCGTGCAGGGGACACAGTAACTGAGGCCGTCATTTGTGAGAAGGCCAAGGCCTTGCACGCAGACCTCGTCCGGGAACAGCCAGGAACCTCAGGTGAGCCAGAAGTCTTCAAGGCAAGCAGAGGCTGGTTTGACCGGTTCAAGACGAGATCTGGAATCCACAGCGTGGTCAGGCATGGAGAGGCTGCCAGTTCTGATGTTCCTGCAGCTGAAGACTTTGCAGCGGAGTTCCTGGAGGTTGTGACGACAGAGGGCTACGTTCCACAGCAGGTCTTCAACTGCGACGAGACCGGGCTGTTTTGGAAGAGGATGCCCAAAAGGACTTTCATCACTCAGGAGGATGCCAAGTTGCCTGGCCACAAGCCCATGAA